CGCACGCCGTCGGCCCGCGCCTCCCCGCCGCCCGCTGCTCTCCCGCCTGGCCTTGGCGCCGCCGCCCGCTGCCCCGCCGCCGCCTGCCGCCCGCTGCCCGCCGCCACACTCGGGACGCCTCCCGCCCGTGCCCGTCTGGCGCCGCGGCCCGCAGCTCCCCGCCGTCGCCCCGTGAGGGCCTGGCGCTGGCCCCTTGTCACCCTCGGGCCCCCTGAGGGCACAACCTGGGTGCCTCGCGGATCCCGGCGGTGGTTTCGCTCTGTCGGGGGCGTGGCTTCCGAGCGTGCGAGGGGCTTCTCGGCCCCGACCGCGCGCGACCGATTTGCCCCAAATGGTCCCCGATTGGCCCCGATTGGCCCCAATTGGTCCCAATTGCTCCGATGTTGGTGTGTGCATTTCGCCCTGGTTGGCCCCAAGAGAAGCCCGGGAGCGCCCAAGAGGACCCGAAGGTATTCCCAGGGCAGGTCCACGTGTTTTGCCACACGCGCGTCGAAGACCCTCCCGAACACTCCCTGATTGGGAGGTTTGTGTGCCGATTGTCCTTCTAGGCGCTCGCTGCGACTCCCCACGTGCAGGCTCAATAGACACCCAGGCAGCTGCGATAAACTCAAGATGGCCTAAGAACGCCCCGAGACCGCCGCGATAACCCTCCAAGGCAACCCAAGACATCCCTACTCGCATCCTGCAGATATGCTTTAAACGACATTCACCATGAGCTGCGCCACAAGCTGCGCAAAACACCCTGAGTTCAACCAAATCGTCCGTTGTCATAATGGTTGTGCCATTAATTGCGCCAATCACCCTGCGTTCAACCAAATGAGTTCACACGGCTGTCTATGAGATATTGTGTCATAAGGGGGAGCCAGACACCCCGCGACCAACCAAATCGTTCGTTGCCTCAATGGGTGTCTCGTCCGTTGCCTCAGGGTGGGTTCACACCGCTGTCTATCATATATTGCGCCATAAAGGGGGAACAAGACACCCCGCGATCAACCAAATCGTCCGTTGCCTCAATAAGCGTGCCATCACTTGCGCCATACATTCCATTACACACCCCGTGTCTAGCCAAATCGTCCGTTGCCTTTAAAGGTGTGTACCTACTCTGTCTACTAACTATCGCGCCATCGGTTGCGCCCCAAACCCGTGTTCAATCAAATAGTTGTTTCAATGGATGTGCCTTCTAGCATCGTAGAAAAAACGTGCAATATTCGCCGCTTAGGGGCCGAGAGTCCAATATGACCCCACGACCCGACCATACCGCCCAAAGATGGAACTACTACCCTATTCGAGGAATCGGTAGAACCACTGTGCCCAAGACGGCCCCATACCCCCAACAGGCCCCGAAGGGAACCCTTCGGGGCCCTACTAGGCCCCGAAGGGACACCCAATAACCTCCCAAAGACCCTCCCAGTCGCCACCAGGAATTATCACAACAACCATGCAGCGTAACGACCACGCCACAACATCGCAGCGCTGCTTCCTTGACTGACGCAGGATGCTTGTACCGTGCCTGCTCGGGAGAACCCAATCGAACTGACCTGCATAAGTGCCGATGCTGCGCTGGCAAGGCGGCGTGGTTTGCCACAGGCAGCTGGATATCGAACCCACGAACCGCACGAAGCAGGACCGCATCGCCACGGGGCTCTGCGAAGTGAATCCTTGCAGCACGTTGCCCCCCTGCGCGGGCCAAGAAGAATCTGGCAAGATCACGCCGACGGCTCCGCCTTCGGGGACGTCTTTGTTCTTGAACTGTTGCTTCAACGCCAAATTGTAACACTCGTCGAAAAGCGTGGCGCTGTTTCGCTCGTAATCCCGCACGGTTCTCGAGCAAACCAACCTGATGCCCCCTCGCGCCACGTCGCGGAAGCGCACATGGAAACCGTAGAAATCCCGCCCAACCACCATGTAGATCCCGTAAGGCATCTCTGGATACATTGTGGCGAGGCGATCCTTCAGCACGACCCGCGGATCGAGCCGGAACGACATGGCCCCCGACTTCTCGGCCGTGAAGAAATTGGTGAGCCGCATACCCTCGTTGAAAGTCAGGAACATCCGCAAGATCTGCCGGTCCTGGGGCTCGGTGACGGATGTGTCGATCTCCGCTGCGAGCTCCTCGTTGAAGTGCGGCTCCTTGCGTCCTAGAGCGATGGCCTGGAAGTCCTCGAAGAAGCGACCCGCGAGGCCAAAGTTGCGCTGCACCAGGTCGTAGATGCGCTCTGGGGCCATCAGTTCCTTCATGCAGAGCCTGTACAAGTCCTCGAGCTTGCGCTGGCTCGCCTGGTCTCTCTCCAGGAGCTTGTGCAAATCGGTGTACTGCCGTGCGTATCGCTCCTTAGGGAAGAATTGGTACACAAACTTCACGGCCGCGAGCAGGTAGAGGCCCACCTCGTGCGATACCTTTGACTGCATCACGCTGTTGAAGATGACGAGCGACTTGCCAGGGAACGACTTCAACAACGTCGAATACATGATCGTCCTTGGGGAACAGCGCAAACGTAAGCGTAAACTTTCGGAGGTCCGTGCGGACTCATTGGGTCAGGCGCAGCCAGGAGGGTCCAACGCCGACCCAAGAATTCTGTGCGGACCTTCGAACATTTATGTTTATGCCGTTGTCTGTTCTTCGATGTCCGCTCGAGCTTCTGCATATCGCTTCCTTTTGCCGAGGGGAAGAACAGGCTGTAAGTGATGACGCCGTTGGCAAACGTTTCACAGTAGAACCTCCGGGGCGTGAGCCCGACGAAACGCATGGCGTGGCACATCATTAGGAAATCCGCCGACCCCTCAGGCCCTTGTGTGGGAGCTGCCTGTCCCCCTCCCGCTTCGCCGTGACGGGAGAGGACCCTTAGTGATAACGGTCCTGGAGGTCCGTCGCCGTCTTGGGTCTTCGGGAGCCATCCCTTGATCAAATTCAGGCAATCAAGCCGGACGATCAAAGGACGTCGATCCAGCTTTCTGTCAATGTCGGGCTGACTTTTCGTCCCCTGCGGGGCTCTTCTGAGCCAGCCCCGAGTCCCGCGCGGAGCTCGGAAAACTCATGTGCATGCCGTTTTCTGTTCCTCGAATTCATGACCCGTCTTCTCCAGGACCCGCATGCGTCATGCCAATCCCCACGCTTCGGGAGGAGTGGATCCTCAAGCCAGTCCGCGGGGCCGTGCAGCGGGCCTTGGGGGGGCAAGAGCAAGTGGGTACGCAGCGTCGAATTGTGCTCTTGGTGCTGTCGTGGATGGCGCAAGATGGCCTACATAGAATGCAGGAGAGGCCAGGAAGGCACCAAGAAATCGCCAATAACCTCCCGATTTGTACCGAAAGGGGGCCTGATATAGCACAGAGTGCCTCCAGCAGGCCCCTGATGAGGAAGCATACTGTTATTCCCTACCATCCTGTGGTGTTGGGTCCTCGTTTCGAAGAGACAGCGCCCCGCGTCACCTCACTCCTGCCCTCCTCCCTCCTCCCCATCCCTGCCTCTGCCCTCTGCATGCCCGTTTTGTCACACCGCTCACACGTTCCGTGACCCCATAGGGAGCCACACTGGAGGCCCCAGGAGGGGGTGTTGAAGGTGTTTCTCCGCACCTCTCACACGTTTCGCGGCCCCCCAAAAAAGGGGGCGCCACCGAAGCCTCCTGGAAACATTGCGCCACCCACGCGCCACCCTCAGGGGCAGAGCTTGGCCGGTCTCGTGCGCTCGTTGCCTGGCGTCACAGTGCGGCCAGTGCGCTCGCCTGGGCCAGTCGTGCCTGCTGTCTTGCTCCATCCTCCAGCTGGTGGGCGGGGCTGGAGAGTGCCGAGGAGCTCAGTCGGCAGGAGGCGGGGAGCTCTCTCTTGTCCTTCACCACCACCGCTCTCCTGCCCAGGGCTTTGCCCCACCGCGCCGTGCTCGAGGAGCGGCCCTGCCTCGCCTGCCCGCGCGTGCTCGCAAGGGCTCGCTGATGCTGCAGGAGACGTGCGCGCCTTGCAGCTTGCCTGAGTGAAAGGGAGGAGGAACAAGGTCAAAACCTGCAGGCCGTGCTCGCGCGGAGCGCTGCGCATAATGGCGGCCGACCGTCTCGGCGGTGCCGAAGAGCAGCACGAACCCCCCCGGGTAGGGGCCCGGGTAGACGCTGCCCTCCACCACTCGCACCATGCTGCGGCGCGACGCCACGACGTCGTCCATGAGGAGCTGGTACTGCGCCTTGGCTATCTTCGTCTTCCGCCTCAGGAAGCGGGTCGAGGCCAGGACCTCGAGGGACGTCTCGTCCTCGGAGATGCTGCTGGTGGCGTCGAAGTAGTTGCGGTCCGCCGACCAGATGCCCAGCCGCTCCTTGCCCTGCTGGAAGGCTGGTCCGACGGAGGCCATGAAGGTGAGGGAGACGTTGTCCTTGCCTGGCTCAGCTTTCTCCAGGTACGCCGCCACCTCCCAGGCAATGGATTGGACGCAGAACGCCCCCAACTTCCTCCATCATCGATCCTGCCTCCCCCTCGATCCTCGATCTCCCGCTGGTGACCCCCTGGTGGTGATCCCCCTTGGCACTGCCCGAACCTTCTCCTCCGTCCGCTTCTGGGCCTCGGTGGGCTCCGGGGAGTCAATGGCCGCCAGGAAGAAGCCGCCGCGGTCCGCCTCGAACGCGAAGCGCATCATGCCGACGTTGTCCGTCGCGCGCGCCACGCGCTTCGCGGCGACGACAGAGGACGAACAAACTGCATGCGGCAAGTTCGTGTCGAGTTGACCCTGGCGCTGGTTCCTGACATCGCGGGAATCGCTCCATCGTTCAACCCTTAACGATCGGCCGTTTCCGAGACGTCAGATCGTTCAACGTCGACCGATTCTGGGTCGACGGCGGCGTTCAGAATTGAACGCCGACGGCCGCCGGCGGCGGGGCCGCCGCCGGCCGTCACGACGCGATCCTACCGCGAACGTGAACTTTCGGAGCTCCGCGCAGATTTCTTGGATCGGCGCTGGGCCGCGGAGCGCGCCGGGGGCGGCGCCAGGGAGGGCCGGCGCCGTTCCCAGCAGTCCGCGCGGAGCTCCGAAGAGTTCTGCTCGTGCCGCTTCTTCCCCTCCGAGATGAGGCAGTGGATGTGCTTGGCGACCTGCAGGGGCGTGAAGTGCTCGAAGTAGATGGGGTGCAGCCCGAGGCCCTTGAAGAAGTGCTGGACCTCCGCGTGCACGGTGTTGTAGCTGAAGATGCCCTCCTTGACGATCAGCTCGAAGACCGTGCTCATGTTCTCCTGGGAAGGCGAGAGCACGGCACAGCCATCAGCTTCCGGAGGTCCGCGCGGACTCTGGCCATCGCTGGGACGTCCATTCCCTGTGTTTTTTCGGTTTCGTGCGTGGTCTTTTCGCCAAATGATCAAGGATGCTCCTCGATGGCCCTCGCCGCAGGAAAAATGCACACGTCCGAGCGATGCCAAGGACTTCCTGGGTCGGCGCTGGGCCCCTCTGGCGGCGTCGGGGCGTGCTCCGCGCGCCGGGGAGGAGGGCCCGGCGCCGACCCAGGAAGAGTCCGCGCGGGCCTCCCGCCGGTCTGGCTCCTGCCGTACTTTCTCCCTCGGTTCCTCGAGCCCTGCCGCCTCGTGGCGGCGCCCACGAGGGCGTGGCGCGAGGGGGGTGGGCTTCTCAGGAGGCGGCGGGGCTTCCCAGAGGGCCAGGGAGGCTTCTTAGGAGCCCGCCTGGCCTCTGAGAGGCCTTCTCAGCAGCCTCCGGGGCCTTCCGAGGAGGCCCCTGCTTTCTGAGAAGGCCCCCGTCATCTGAGAAGGCCGCGCCCCCCCCCCCCCCTCGCCACCCCCTCGTGGGCGCAGTCAGGCCTGGGAGGAGAACGCCTCCTCGCCGTTCATGTACGACCCCGACGGGAGCCTCCGCCGCGCGCACGCGTCCGACGAGAACGCCTCCTCGCCGAGGCTCCGGCCCTGCAGGAAGCGCCGGACCTCGTTGTGGCCGTTCTCGACGGCGTCGTGGATGGGCAGCAGCCCGAAGCGGTCGCGCTGCAGGTTGGCGCCGCACTCCTCCAGGGGCCGACCAAAACAGCGTTTTGCGTCTTCGTTTCGTTTTCGTTGAGGCGCTTCGTGTTTCACGACAGGAAGCTCCTCGCAGCCTCTGGGGACGACATCCGCCTTGGGGCATGTGAAAACGAAAGCGGTCCGACCGAGTGCCTGACTGAAACGTTTTGGCGCAGATCCGAACACGTGATATTGGCCAACTGTGGGGCCCCAGGATGAGCACAGAACGGAACGAGAGAAACGACAACGATCCACGACATTTCCTCACTAACGTTTTGTACGAGCCTGGGGATGTACAAGAAGACATCGATACTGCTACTCCACGGACCTCTCCCGCGCTGCACGCAGACCATAACCTCGAGGAGAATACAGCCTTGGCGACAAAGACTCTCCAGGAGCAGCGGTATGGGTATCCTTTCCTCCTCTGAGACCCCCGCTCCTCCTCAGGAGAGGCTAACTCCAGATGGAATAAGCTCAGACGGAAGCCGAGCTCTCCGTGCGGACATCCCTTAGCATCCTATCAGGAGAAGCTGGGTCCAGACGAAATCCGTCACCGTGCCTCTGGGCACGGAATGGGCGTGTCCTCAGGTCCTTTCTCTAATCCTCCAAGCCTCAATCCTCACACTTGAGGAGTCTCTTAGAGGCCCGGGACCCAAATTCACAAATCTCCTGGGGCTTGTAGCGGTTCCCCGCGGCTTGTCGCACGACTTTTTGGGGCCTAGGAGGGGTCCGAGACGGGCCAAGAGAGCTCCGAGAGGCCCCCAAGATGGTCCCAGAGTGCTCCGTCGCCGAAAGATCGCTCCCAAACGCCCAGGGTGGCCACAAGACGGTCCGAGATGCTCCCAAGACGCCACCAGAGACCTCCAAGAGGCCTCCCAAGAGGGCCCCAAGAGGCAGGATCCATTTTCTGTTTGTGAAAGATCTCAATGTTCTCCAAGACGGCCCAAGAGGCCTCCAAGACCGCCCCAAGAAGGCCCAAGAGGTCCCCAAGAGGGCCTCAAGACGGCCGAAGAGGGCCCCAAGACGGCTCAAGAGGAGCCCAAGACGGCCCAGGAGGGCCCTCAAACTGCCCCAAGATGGGCGCAAGAGGGGGATCACGCACCGAAAATTTGAGCCTTCCGCCTCAAGAGGCTCCAGGAGGCGCCCAAGAGGACCCAAGAGGCCCCCAAGATGCCCCAAAGAGGCCCCAAGCAGCCTCAACACGGCCCCCCAGGGAGACATCAAAACTGCCTCCAAGAGGCCGCCGAAAGGCTTCCCACGAGATCCCAACGCACGTCCAACAGACTTCATACCCGCAACCCAGGCACGGTGGCGGGATGACCCGAGAGCCATTCGATAAGCCCCGACGGAGACCGAGCACCCCGTGCAGATCAACTCCGCTCGGACTTTGAGCATCCTCCGATCCTCCATCAGGAAACGCACCATCTCCGTGTTCCCCTTCGCGGCGGCCAGGTGCAGCGGCGTGCGCCTGTCGTACGGCGTGCCCGCGTTGGCGGCCGAGGGCTCCGCGCGCACCAGCGAGCGCATTCCCTCGATGTTGCCCGTCGCGGCACACTCGCACGCCAGCGCCGCGACGGCCGCCGGGGGCAGCTGCGCCAGGACCTCGGGCCCCGGCACGCTGTCGGCCATGCCTGTGCCGGCGCCAGCTCTGCGCCCGCACCCGGCCCTGGCCGGGCCCATCCTGGGCCCGGGATCGGCGTGTACGCCCTCCGGGCACCGGCAGGACGGCAGACCTGGTCGGACAGGAGCGGGGCGCGCCGATGTTGTGCAGCGGGCCGCTAGCTCGGAAAAGAGGAGAAAGAAGGAGGAGGGCGACGACATGGCGGCGGATGGCAGTGTGTATGACGGGGGGGGACAGCGAGGGGAGCATGAGGATAACGAGGAAGACAGACACGAGCACGAGGAATACGAGATGGAGGAGAACGAGCACCAAGAGGAATGAGCAGATGAGGAGGAGGAGGAGGAGGAGGAGGAGGAGGAGGAGGAGGAGGAGGAGGAGGAGGAGGAGGAGGAAGAGGAGGAGAACGACGTAGTGCCGGCACATGCACCGATCCCGGGCCCAAGATCGGCCTTGCCAAGCTCGGTGTAGGTGGCGAACTGGTGCCCTCCGAATGCCGCCCGCGCCCGGCGGCGGCACCGCCGCGCGAGAGGGCGCGCGCGGGCTCGCCCGCGGGCGCGCGTCGGCCTTCCTGTGGCGGGCGAAAAAAGCGTAAACATTGTACGAGCCAGAGCGGCTGCGGTCCTGCGGGTCCTGCCTGTCCACGTTCTGTGGGCTACCCCTCTCCCCCTGCCGCTGTTTGGCAGTCCGCCATCGGGCCCCCCCTGGGATGTCGAGGCGGCGTAGGCTGCCAAGTTCTGCCTGGTAGGGCTTCTGCAAGTTTCCACCTCCCCCCTATACGCGCGGAGTTCCGCGTGCTTCGCGTAACGCAGGGTATGCGGTATGACACCCTCCCCGAAGTTAGCATGTCGCGAAAGGGTTGCGACCTGGGGCTGGCTGGCACGCTGGTTGGCTCAACGCGGATGAGGGCCGCGAGACTGACGAAATGGGCGCAGGTGCCTCCAAGCGAGTCCTGCCATTTGGGCCTTCTGTGGGGCTCCCTGTGGGGCCACGAGGCGAGTAAGGGGTGTGCAAGAATGGGCGTGGTCACCCAAACGCGCCATGCTATGTGGGCCTTCGGTAGTCCCCATGTGGCCACGAAGAGTCGGAGAGGTGTGTCGACATGGGTGCAGTGCCGCAGTGCGAGCCGTGTCAGTCGTGCCGACGTGGGTGCCTCGTGCGGGCTGTGCAGAAAGGCGCGATGCCGCCGTGCGGACGCAACCACTCGGGCCTCCGGTGGAACTCCCTTTGGGGCCACGCAGCGTGTCAAGGCCGTGAGAACCTTGCCATTAGGCCTTCGGTTGATCTCCCACTTGGACCACGAAACGCGTGAGGTATGTGCCGAAATTGGTGCGGCGCCGTCATGTGAAACCTGCCTTTTGGGCACTCGGTGGAGCTCCCTGTGGTGCCACGAAGCGCGTGAGGGGTGTGCCGGCATGGATGCGGTGCCGTCATGCGAACCCTACCTTTCGGGCCTTCTGTGGAACTCCTCAGGGGGGGGGAGACCGCGAAGCGCGTGAGGAGTGTGCTGGAATGGGCATGTTCTCTCTCTCTCTCTCTCCGACGTGTTCAATCTGGTCCTTCTCCTCCTCCTCCTCCTCCTCCTCCTCCTCGTCCTCGTCGTCCTCCTCCTCCTCCTCCTCCTCCTCCTCCTCCTCCTCCTAGTCGTCCTCCTTGGCTTCCTCCTCTTCCGTTTTTTTTGTTCCTCATCCTCCTCCAAAGCCTTCATGAACCTCCTTTTTTGTTTCTCCTCCTCCTCCTCCTCCAAAGCCTTCATGATCCTCCTTCTCGTCGTCCTCATTCTCCTTCTCCTTCGCGCGAACGCACCAGAAACTTGATATGAATACTACTCTCCTCTACCCCCTGGCAATGTCCCGCTGGGCTCACCTTTCCGGCGTATTGTTTTTCACATGCAGGAGCTACATTTTGTCTTCGACCAGGATGTCCTCCTCCTCCTCCTCCTCCTCCTCTGTCGGAGCCTGTTTTGCTTCCCTCCTCTTCTCGCTCCCTCTCCCCCCTTCGCTCCATCCCTCTCCCGGGAGGGAGCCCCTGCCGAGGGCACCCTCCAGAAGCTGAGCACGACCTTCATAATGTACATCTCGATCATCGTTCGCAGCACGAACCTGTAGGGGGGGGAGAGAGACGAGGACGCAATCAAGGAGGATGAAGACGAGGAGGAACAGCTGGAGGCTGGCTGATTGGCAGAGGCGCGAATGCACAACGAGTGAGCGGCTAATGACGGCAACACTCGAGCCACAGCAACACCAGCACGGACGTGACTGCAGAACGGATGGGCGGGGGCAGGCGCGGGTCGAGGCGTGAGGCGAGGAGGGAGAAAGAGGTGGGATGCCTCCCACAACAGGCCGGCCCCACCGACAAAGGTTTCAGGTGGATGAAGAGGCGGCCTGCGTCGAGGCTTGGGCGGACTGTCAACATTCGCCACTGCGGCTCTGGGGCCAAGCTAGGTCGTGGCACATATTTCGGAAGCCGGGAAGGAGGAGTATTACGAACAGGAAGATGAGGGGCCAGGGAAGAAGGGAAGAAACTAGAACAATTAGAAATAATCTACCCTTCGCTTCCATCTCTCCCTCCTTCCTTTTCTCATTCCCCCCCGCTCCCCTTCTGAGAACATCATGCACGAGGGGGCGCGTGCGAGCCAGCAAAGGAGAGCTGCGGGGCGGAAAGCAGGCCGCACCACCAGAAGGTCCAAATGATGGCCATGACCATGGTGAAGGTCGTTTTCCCAGCGCAGAACCCCTCCCCTCGCCAACACTTCAAGCCCTGCGAACCGCCGCTTGTTGCAGCCTGCCCTGCCCATCCCGGGCGTCGTATAGGCGCCGACGTGGCTTAGTCGTGTTCGCTCACCGGCCACCGCCGCCCAGCCACCGGGGTGAAGTGGGCGCGCGCCGCGGCCAGCGCCCCGAAAATCTGGGTCGGCGCCCAGGGGGCCTCGGACTCTTCCTCGTCTGAGCGGTCTTCGTGGCTGAGGGAACGGTCCTCTGCTGGAGCGTCCGTGCCCGCGCGCTTGACACTGCGCAACACCCTTCCACGGCCGCCTTGCGCCAGCCCGGCGCTCTCCTCGCCACCTGGTCGCGCAGCAACCTACTCACGCACCCTCCGGTTCTGAATGGCATCCTCGCCGAGGCACCCGTGCTGCTGCAGGAACTTTACACAGAGGAAGGAACACTGCACAATCACTAACGTTCGGAAATCCTCGTGGATTTCTTTGGCGCGACAGGGGCGGCGCCGAAAACGCTGCCAGGTGGGTCCAGGGTCGATCCAAGAAATCCGCGCGGACCTTCGACAGTTTATGCTTATGTCGGTTCTTCTTCTTCTTCTTCTTCTTCTTCTTGTTATTCCTCTTCTTTGTCGAGCGCTGCTGCAAGAACTCTATGGCCTGCCGCTTGCTGCGGCCGCCTGGAACTCCACCACGCGCCCTGCCTCTCTCCTCCTGCCTGCGGCGCGCCGCGCGCTCCGGTCGCCGGGGCAAGCGGGCCAGCCTCTCCGAGGGGCCTGGAGGCAACCGGGCAGGCTGCCCGAAGGCAGGATGGCTTCACCGCTCCCTCCCTGCGCCTGCCCGCCTGCACCTCCCCCGCCCCCCCCCTTGCCTGCCCCCTCCCCTCCCTCCATCCTCCCCTGCATGCGCGCGTGGCGCGCGCGCCCGATTACCCTGACAGCATAGGTCGCCGAGACCTGGAAGCTGAGTCCGGCCTACCCCACCTCCCCCCACTGGGGGAACAGGGAGATACCGATACCGCTGCTCCCCAGACCTCTCCTGGGGCGCGGTCTGACTTGGATTCCGCCGCGAATGCATTCGTGGCGCCGAGGGCCCTGCGAGACACGCCTAAACAACCGAAAACGGGGGATGGGGGGAGGGGTAATGGCATCGGTATCTGTCCCTCCCCTCCCTGCCCCCGGAATCTATCCCTTCTCTCTCTGCCCCCCCCCCCCCCTTGCATCCAAGTAGACGCCGAGCGGGCGACGTCTCAGGGTCCTTGCGCCGATGTAGCCTGCCCGGGCCCAACGGAGGAGAAGGGGCGAACGTCGCTCCAAAGGGCGGTCGCCTACCTACTCGTGCGTGCACGTGCAGATTCCAGGCAACGAAGTAAGTGCTGAGGCCCGGAACCAGGGCGCGCTGAAACAATACAGTGCAATTGATGCGTCAGGCTGAGCCTCAAGACCGACCGATCGAGTGCATCGTCGGGGGTCGAGGCATGATCCTGGGCTGATCACAGGCACAACTTCATTAGAGCAGAACTGTAACAAAACTCTCTAGGGTAGCAGACCGCCCACGACAGGTGACGACATCTGAGATAATGTGCCATCGAGTCTGTTCCCTCCTGGCAGCCAAACTTGCATGGGGCCGAGCGAATAGATGTGGATACATCCATGCGGTCCGCTGTGGGCCACGCTCCAGTGAGGACTTTGATCACCGCCCATCTCACCCCCCTCCCTTTAGTCAGCAGGGCGTGCTTTTCAAGCCGTCCAGCGTCTGCTAAGCACACTGGTGGGAGGAGGAACATCCAAGCCTCCGACGCCGTGTTTTTCACAACGTCGTGGGCCCCCCAGAAATCTGGACCCCTTCCCCGGAACCGCCTTGTCACTCCGAGCCGTTTCTTGGTCCCCGAGCCTGGCGAGAGCCTCGGGAGACTAAACATAGCTAAACAAACACCCTTCCGTCATGGTTTTTGTCCACGGTGTAAAAAGGTTTTCCGTCCCTTCCTCTCAGGTCCGCCGCGTCTGAGAGGAGGCGAACTTTCTCCGCTTCGTCCCTGCCTGAGCGGGAGTAGCTGGTGCTCAGAGCGTCGCGGCGGCGGCCCCAGCCACACGCTATGCCCTGCGAGCGGATATGGGCGGGAGGCCGGGAAAAGCTCGGGACATCGTCGCCTGGGGACCGCAACGTGATTAGCGTGTCGCGCCGAAGCGTGGT